GGAATCGGATCAAAAGTGTTTCGTGGTAGCTGAATTCTGTTCAATCAAACAAGCCAGAAGAACACTAAGAAGGTTTGGCTTCTTCTATATTGTTCTATCTATCCTCATTTCATTCGAATATTGAAGTAAATTAAATTGGGTTTTTGTTCAATTTGACCAATTCTGTGAGTATTTCATACGTTTACCAGACTTTCTATGAACCTTTCTTGACCTGGTAACAGTTGAATAGGATTGATCAAGTCAAAAACTTCGGGTCTTGCCCTAATTGCTCCCATGGCAGCCATGAATGTTGCTCCATATTCCCATAGTCCCACCCATAAAGCCGTATTAACGAAAGATTACGCGGGTCTTACCAAAATAATCTCGGGTCTCCCTCATCTCAGTGACCCGTCCAAAATCCGCACCGAATCAGCCTCCATTGCAGAGGAAGCCATAGCCGATGCAATCTCAACAGTCATCGATCGCCGTGATGTCCCAAATCGTGACACCCCTCTCCATTTAGCGGTGAAACTGGGTGACACCGCCGCCACGGAAACACTCATGCTCGCCGGAGCTGATTGGAGCTTGCAAAACGAACATGGTTGGAGCGCCCTTCAAGAAGCCATATGCAACCACCAAGAACACATCGCTAAAATCATTATCAAACACTATCAACCCACAGCTTGGGCTAAATGGTGCAGAAGATTACCTCGATTGTTACAAACCATGAGAAGAATGCGTGATTTCTACATGGAAATCAATTTCCAATTCGAAAGTTCTGTGGTTCCGTTCATTTCCAGAATTGCCCCTTCCGATACTTACAAGATATGGAAACGTGGTGCGAATTTGAGGGCAGATATGACTTTAGCCGGATTCGATGGTTTTACAATTCAAAGGGCCAATCAAACTGTTCTCTTTCTCGGTGATGGTTCTGAAAAAGTTCCTCCGGGATCTCTTTGTATGATTTCTCATAAAGACAAGGAGGTGATGAACGCTTTAGATGGCGCAGGTGCAGTGGCATCCGATGGGGAACTGCAGCAGGAGATCCAAACCATGTCTCAGGCTAATATGTTTAGGCCCGGGATTGATGTCACTGAAGCCGTTCTTTTGCCCCAGATGACGTGGCGTAGACATGAGAAAACCGAATTTGTTGGGATTTGGAGGGCGAAAGTATACGATATGCAAAATGTAGTTGTAAGTATAAAATCCCGTAAGGTCCCAGGGGCAAAATCGGAACACGAGTTATTTGGTAATGAAAGGGAATCAAATAGCAAAGAATTTAATGACATTTTGACCAATGAAGAGCATAAACAACTCGAAAGCACGTTAAACAATGGGATTATCAAACATCGAGATATCCCGATTGAGAATGGTGTTGGTTATGAAAAGTCAAAATCAAAGTCAAAGTCAAGTCAACTCTCGTCTACAAGTCAAACTCATGGTAGATGGAAAGATGGAGGCCGTGAGAGCGAGTATAAGAAAGGGTTGAGGCCAATTTTATGGCTTTCACCCGATTTTCCATTGCATACGGATGAATTATTGCCTTTGCTTGACATTTTGGCTAATAAAGTGAAGGCGATACGAAGGTTAAGAGAATTGCTTACCACAAAATTGCCAGCGGGGACGTTTCCCGTTAAGGTATGTATATTTTTTTATTTTATTAAGGTTTGGGTAATGTAGTTAGAGCATGTTTTCCTCTAAATAAGTTGCTAATTATAGTGAGTCCTATGTAAAATCATATAGTGTATGTGTTTAGGGAGGTGTTTGGATGTGTGTTTTGAAAGTTATTCTTGGGACTAAAAGAATCAAGATCAAATAAGATAAGTTAAGAACCTCCGTCAAGGTGGTCTAGTGGTGAAACATCCAAAATCGAGTCGACCCATATTCGAATCCTGAGTCAGACTTCAACCTTGAGATGGCCAGTAGTTCAAAGTGAAATAAAAAAGAATAAAAGAAGAAGAAGATAAGTTGATGAAATTAGGGATAGTTTGGTAATTTTACTTTTATTTCAATAATAAGTTTGCTTAGGTCATCTCCAACTCGAGGCGATATAACATAATAGATTATGGTTACTTAGCAACAATTTATTTTTAACTCCAACCACACACTAAAAACAGTACATATAAAACATATATTTAAACCTTTTATCAAGAAATTAACATAAGAACATTATAATTTGTAACTAGTTATTACTTAATTTTATGTTACGGAAACTCGCTAAAGTTAAAAAAAGAAATGACAAATTTAAATGTTCATTAGACTTTTTTAAATATCATACTCGTCATTGGACTACTTTCTATAAAGCTCTTGTTGAGATTTTTGAATTGTATATTTTATGTGAATTAAATTTTTGAGCAAATTACATTTTTGGTGGTCGAGTATAGTTTATTATCTTAACCCGAAATAATCAAAACCCAAATTATTGTACCATTTTTTAGGTTGCCATTCCGGTGATCCCCACAGTAAGGGTAATGGTTACTTTCACAAAATTCGAAGAATTACAACCGTTGGATGAATTCTCGACCCCACCTACAAGTCCTACAGATGCAGACCGCAATCCTCCCACAACAGGCTCATCATCTTGGTTTCAGTGGATCAAAACTCCGTATCAAACCGCCAGCTCATCAACAAGCGGGTCCACTCCATGTATAGAACATGTTAATGACCCGTTCTTAATCCCTGCTGACTACACATGGATCACATCCGAAGAAAAGAAGAAGAAAATGCAGGAGAAGAGTAAATCGAAGAAAGGAAGAACTCAAAACCAGCAATGGATTTAAGAACACGATGATTTGATAACATTGTTTCAAATAATTTTTACTAATTTACAATAATTTACACTTTACACCATGAACAAATTCAAGAGACAGGAATCACAAAGTTATTGGCTGATACAGTGAGGGTATAGATCTTTTAATCATATTATTTATATTTTTGTAATCGTATTAGTAATAACTTTTGTTTTATATTTTAGTTAATTAACGCTTTATTGAGGATTCGTGTTAAGTGGGTTAAGAAAGGTTGGAGTAGGGTGAAAACAAGTATGGTTGGTTGAGTAGCTTAGACTTTTTTTTAGGTTTTCCCAATATTTTTGAATTTTAAAGTATTCAAAGTGTTAAATTTAGTTAAGATATTAGTAATACAAACAATAATTAATAATATGATGTTTTTCTAATAAAACAATGTAGTCACTTAGTCATGTAGGAGCATATAGTATTTGAATATATTATTTTTGCACGAAAATTGCTTGTGGAAGACATGAACAAAGTACATTATGAGTTGATAAATATAAATCATGCCAATTGGAATTGATTTCTCCTCCGGAATTTTTCCACACAAGAATTCATTTCATTGTTCATTTAAGGGAAGAAGCAATATCCGGGGTGGACCTATATACATGAGGCGATAATAAATATATTAAAATATTAAAAAATCTTTATATCTATGGATGTTTTTTTTTTTTTTCTATATTTCAGTTATGTTCAATCTCTAAACAACACTAGCAATGCAAATTGCATCTTAAATCAAATATTGCCTCCTCAGCCATAAATTTTGTTGGGAGATTTTTACTGGTTTACAAGTACTTTCCCCATTCTACAGCTCTATACACTTGGCTTTTTAGCTTGTAGTTGCTTTCAATTGTTGCAACCCCTTGTTCATCTGTCATCACATTGAAAAACACATATCTTGAGGCCACGTTGATCTTACAATCCCCTATTCATCATAGTCATCTTTGTTGCTTTCATTCGTAAGTAAAATTGGATGTTTTGCAATGAAATAAAAGCTAATAATTATAACTCCAAATCGACCGATCACACACCCAATGATACGAGGGAATTTCCTAATTTACCCTTGCGTGCTTTTTGCATGATGAGAGATAAGATATCTGCTTATACGAAGTTAAGGACATAACATACCCATATATACATAGTGACATTGCTTAGCAAAAGATTCTTTTTGAGACATAACTTGGAAAAAACAACATAAGGCATGAAAGACTTTTTTTAGGTTTAGTCAAATTTACTTTATGTATGTCTAACATATTTGTACACATGAGATAAGATATTTATCTGCTCTTGGGTCGTAGAATCGTACGACCCTATGATTTCACCTAGGTAATCAATCACGATTCTACTTGGATCGTTTTGGGGTAAGATCGGGGTAGGATCGTATGATCGAATCGTAAGATTGTAAGATCGTTACTATTTATTTAAAAAAAAACTTATATTTTGTCTTGCACTAATTAAATATACCGAATATGAACCCTAGAAAACCCATTTTGAATTAGTTATTGTTAAATGCACTTACGGGTCTACTAAGGAGTCTGTGCTACTCAATTTTTTAGGCGTAGTGGAATTTTTTGGTGTAGCGTAATTTTTTCGGCATGTTACCTCTAAAGTTTACGTGTGGTGCCCATGACATTTTGTTGTAGGTTCGCCACTAGTTAAATGATGTATTGGAGATGTATTTCCGGTGTTTTGATATATATATATTGTTAACTGAATGGTTTGATTAAAATGTATTTTTATATTTCAAACTGTTTTTGGTAGGATCTTAGGATCCGATTCAATATTACGCTTACCATATTGCAAAACGAAAATCGATAATATATAAGATTACGATCTTGACGACCGTGTTTTATATATTATTCAAATCATATGGAAATTAGATATTGATTTCTATTATGAATAAGAAATAAAATACATTGTATATCTTTATAAAAATGAAAAACCCGCTTTAATTAATGTTGTGTGCTTTCAAATAGGATTACCCGTTTTAGAAAATTACAACATACCGACAAAAACAGATAATGTCATAAGGTTTGGATGGTTGCTAGAAAAAGATTCTTAATAACCATTATTTTACGATAAATAAGATTTTTTTATTATCAAAATATGCCTTAATTAAATACTTTTGTTTAATTATATGTGTCTTATATTTATATGTGGAATAATTGTTGCATGAAAAAACAATACAATAAAAGGCGGTTAAACAATACGTGACAGAGGGCAATACGTTGATTAAACAAATCTGTTCCCTCAAGTCCGTTCAAAACCAACTAAACTGAACCTAGACTCCTTTACGACCCAATTCATAGTCCCCACCTTTTATCCTCTCTCTCTCCTCCCTCCCTTCACATTCGCCATTGAAAAACTGCCCCTGAACCCCAAATTCTCCAGTATTCAAGTTTTAGAGTAGAAATAAAGCATAAATCTACCTTTAACGAAGCTTTCGTCAACTGTTTTTGGAGAGAGAAAAAAGAAAATTCTAGTGAAATGAAGGGAGGGAAACGAGAGAAGAATGAAGAAGCTGTTGAGGCTGCTTCTGTTGCGTATCATGTGCTTCATAAGCTTCCTTCTGGTGATAGTCCGTATGTCAGAGCCAAACATCTTCAGGTTTGTCCTGATCTGGATTTGTACTTTCCGTATCTTTTGAGTTTTTCTTCAATTGTATATAAAATTATAAATACTTGAATTAATTTGCCATTTGTATGAATATGTTTATGTAACCTGAATGTGTTTTGTCATGTTCCGATTATATGATACTCAAAATCGAAAAATTACGCGAACGAATTCGAAAAAAAAACAAATCAATTGCTTACAAGTTACAACTATTCTGTGTTTTGTCCTGATCCTGATTTGTATTTTCCATAGAGTTAATCGATGAACGATTATTTCATACTGGAATATTCGATAATTTTGTCTGATCCGATTATTTTGGTTCATTTTTTGTTATCTATAATTAGTTACAACGACAATAATGAATTATTGCGCGAACGAATTCAAAAAAACAAATCAATTGCTTATTCATTGGTCAAATAATAATCAGTTGCTTTGATTAATTCATAATTATTTTACCGAATGTTCAGCGATTCTTCTTGAGTAATTGCTTATTCTATCTTTAGAAATTAAAGTATGTGTGATTTTAATCTTTGATTGAGATTTGAGATCGAGATTATTGCTTTGCAGAGAAGCATTCTTATTTCTTGCAATCTGTTATACGGCTTGTGTAGGGTCCGGATCTTCAATCAATTATTTGACCATTGAATTTGATCCTTTTATTTTATATTTATTTTATTAAAATGATGTTGTCAACTATTCCACCATTGAATTTGATTTTATTAGTTGTAGAAAATCAGTCCATGAAATCAACGTTTTTTTGTCCAAAAGTGTCAAATTATGTGTCAAATTACACGTTTCAAAAGTTCACATCTATTTTTGCCCAACACTTTGCACACAAATAATAAAATATACATTTTACACTACCAACTAGTTTTGTCACACAATACACAATCTTTTATTTAATTATATAAATATATATGTTTTTTCAGCTGGTGGAAAAGGATCCAAATGGAGCAATAGTCGAGTTTTGGAAGGCAATAAATATGGGTGATAGAGTTGATAGTGCTTTAAAAGACATGGCAGTTGTTATGAAACAACAAGATAGAGCTGAAGAAGCAATTGAACTTATTAGATCCTTTAGAGAACGTTGCTCTAAACAAGCCCAAGAATCACTAGACAATGTTCTAATCGACTTATACAAGGTAATTATTTACATTCCACCTCAAAACTCAAAATCAGACCTTGTTTTACATAACATAAAGTACATTTTTTTGTTCTTTATGAGTTAATAAAAGTTAATGTGATTTTTTAGAAATGTGGGAAATTAGAGGAACAAATCGAGCTTTTGAAACAGAAGCTTCGGATGATTTATCAAGGAGAAGCCTTCAATGGAAAACCCACAAAAACCGCACGTTCCCATGGAAGGAAATTTCAAGTTACAGTCAAACAAGAGACATCAAGAATACTGGTAATTTTATGGATTCTATTTTTCAATCTAAACATAGAATGAAAAATGAAAAATAAAGTAAATTCCTAATTTACACTTGGATTAAATGTGGTGCAGGGTAACTTAGGGTGGGCGTACTTACAGCTAAAAAATTTCCCAGCAGCAGAAGCAGTATATCGTAAAGCTCAAGAGATAGACCCAGACGCCAACAAGGCATGCAATCTGTGCCTTTGTTTAGTGAAACAAGGTAGATATAAAGAGGCAAACACGGTTCTTTTAGAAGTGATGGAAGGTAAACTTTTGGGGTCGAATGACCCCAAGTTACTGAACCGGACTAATGAGTTGGTTCAGGAGCTAGAGCCATGGCGGCTAGCTCAGGTGCACCCTGGTCCGGACCAGGGTGTGGTGAGTTTGGAGGATGCTTTTATTGAGGGGCTTGACCAGTTAATAAACCAATGGACTCCATCGAGATCAAGGAGACTTTCGGTGTTCGAAGAGATATCGACATATAGAGATCAATTAGCTTGTTGATCGATTATGATTGTGTGGTTAGGGGCCAATAACTCAATGGTTGTTGAGATAAATGGATATATAAATATATAACATGTATAGACCAATAATCGATCTTTGTACTAGAGTTGTGTGTGTAGTGTAGTTTAAAGAAAATAATGAAAAATAGTTCAACAAATTTCCTTCAAAAGTGAAAAAAATACATGATTACTTTTTTACAAAATCATTTTATGAATGCCTTTTCTATAAAATCATTTCATTTAATTTGTTGTTGTTTTTTATAACAACTTACTTAGATACTATTCTACTCCAAAATCCACATATTTTGTTATAACTAGGACAATCTACATATTTTGTTATAATTAGGACTTGAACTCTTAACCTATTCTCTTACTATTAGGCCAAGAGATTTCAACATGTTTAGAGTTGGTCATGGCACGCTAACCTAACACGACATGAAATATAAATTATCTTATGTGAAAACGGTTGCAAATATAGTTAAAAAAAAATTAGTAGAGGGAATTGTGAGATGATTTGAGGAATTAAACCCATAAAAAACCAATCTATTTCACCCAACCTTGTTCCAGTCTAGACCGAAAACCCGGACTTTGTATGCAGCTTTACTTCAATCTTCCCGTTATGCGATTGTTGGCCCTTAAGACTTTACGGAGTGGCGTGCGTCAACCCCTCGTCTTGGACTCATTGGGCGCGCCTACATCGTCACCAGCACGCGCCAATGGGGTTCGCCTTTGTCCTCTCGCTCGTGGAGTAGCGTGAAAAGAGATGGATGTGTGCAACTTTTTGACCAGATTCAAAAAAAGAAATTCTTTTATTTTTCAAAAAAACTAATTTTTGTTGAAAAAAAATGTTCTTTTATTTTTCAAAAAAACTAATTTTTGTAGAAAAAAATATTCTTTTATTTTTCAAAAAAACTAATTTTTGTAGAAAAAAAAAACAAATCAATTTTTATAAAAAACCACTATAAATACATTCTCATTTTTTTCTCTATTTTACACACTCTTAATTCTTCCTCTCATATCTTTATCTTAAACTCAATCATGTCTTCCTTAAAACAGACAACAATCCCAAGAGAGCAACAGTGCGGACCTACACGAAATGCCCCCTCATCCTATTGGTTGCGATAAAAATATATATATATATATATATATATATATATATATATATATATATATATATATATATATATATATATATGTTAGTTCATCTCGTGACGTTGACGCCGCAAGCAAGCAACTTCAAATGTGGGACGCCAAAATCGACAAAATTTTGGAGATTGATTAAATCAAACAAAAAACTAAAGCATTAAAACTCTTCTTGCAAGATGATAGTAGGTTGTTCGAGACGACTCGTTGGATCGTGGAAAATGCGAAAGCAGATATTGCCTACAAATCTAAAGTGAGATAAGAGTGTTTGAAGTTGTTTATTAAGTTTGGGTTTAAGTTATTTACGTTTTAAGTCCAGTATTAAGTGATGTTTTAAGTTTAGGTTTAAATCATTTATGTTTAACATAAGTTAAGTTAAGTTTTAAATCGTTTTTTATGTTGTAAGTCAAGTATTTTTAATATAATTATGTTTCTGTTTTTAAAAATTAATAGTTGTTTAAAAATTAAAATTTGTTTGAAAAGTTAATATTTGTTTAAAAAACTTAATATTTGATTAAAAAATTAATATTTGTTTAACAAATTAGATATTTGTTTAAAAAATTAATATTTGTTAAAAAAATTAAACAAAATTAAAAAAAAAAAATTATGTGGCGTGCTTAGGAACACTATGGGCGTGTTCGGCAAAATTAGCTGGTAGCGGGTGGCTTGTAGCGGGTAGCGGATAGCTTGTAGCTTGTAGCGTTTTGTTAAACGCTACATGAAGTAGCATTTGGATTTGGAGCGTTTTGTTTAAACTAAACACTAGAAGCTTGTAGTGCCGAACGAGACTTTCTGTTCAAAACGGAGCGTTTTGTCAACGCTAGAAGCTCTCAAACGCTCCCAAATGCTCTGTGCCGAACACACCCTATCACTCGATGATGGTATTTGCTTTAATTGGTTATGTTTTTGGAATTTTTGCAAAATTATTTTGTTGAAATTGTCAATTTTCACAAAGTAAATGGCTGCTTATTTTATTTTAATCTTTATAAAATATGTCTAATATGTGTGGGGATAAAGGGATAAACATCCATTTTTATTATTTTCGTTGTTAACCCTTCATTTTGGCACAACGCCCTTAATCTTTATTTAGGGAAAAGTCTACGATACAAACTTCTCCAATGCAAAAATCTTTACACATGTTTTTATTTATAAAAACAATTTATGCTCATCTATTTAGTTTATTTTAAAATCTTGTCTCTAATTTGCGTTCTCTTATGCACATACACGGACATAAACAAACAAAAGTAAACAAAACAAACAAATATAATGGCATTTTAACTATCTTGAGTTATTTTTATAAAAAAAATACATTATTTAAAGTAAACTCAAGACGATTAAAATGATCATTTATGAACTTGAGTTAAACATCCATGCAAAATTTAAAATAGTTCATAAATCAAGCTTTTAAAGTTCATGATCATTTAAATGTATGAAAATGCAGAAAATACAGTACATAAGTCCAAAATAAAAGTATTTTTTTAAATGCAAGATTAATTCAAACTAAAACATAAATTTGTAGTGAAACAACTACATAAACCGATAAACATGGCCTTCTAAATATCATTGTTTCCTCTATCACCTTTCTCCATGAACATATAGTTGTTTGACTACAACTATATTTAGAAGGCCATGTTATACACAATACAATAGAGACCGATTCAAACTAGGTACGTGTGAACCATCCCATAAGCAACACTTAAGGGGTAAGCAACATCGCTTGTGTTGTGTATAGCAACACTTAAGGGGCAGCTAGCATTACTTGTATATAGTGATGATTATAGAAATCTAGTAACTTCCAAATAGTCAAAATCTCATATGGATATCATGAATGAATCGCAAGGTCTCCCATCTAATGTGAATGCACAAGTAGGATGCTCAAAACATTTCCAAACTAATAAGGTTTTCTCAAAAGAAACAAAACTCTTTCCAAAGATAATTTGAATGAAATGTGCATACTTATAGTAATCAAACTTCATATAGAAAGAAAACACATGAAATAAATTTGAACCAAAAGATGAAAGTAAGTTTAGGGACATGTACTTCGGGTATAACTCATATTAGTCTTGAATAGAACTTCAAATCACTTCTAAGGATGAACAAGACCTTAATGATCACCTAGGGTTAACAAATATACCCTTAATCAACTACTAATTTCATAATATCGAGTCTAAACCCTATTTTCACTCTCAATTATGTAATTCTAATTATAGACCAACAATTAAGAAGTGGTGAGGAAGTTATGCCATTGAAGAAATTTAAGCTTGATTAGGAAAAACAAAATTCTCGGGTATGTCCAAAAGGTTACCCAACTGATTCAACCCATGCCTTGGCATGGCCTTGACCGATTCCCTCTTTCACAACTCGGTTTCAAGCAAAAAAGCCTATATGTTGCCTAAACTTGTCCAATCTTGTTCCAAACACTTCCAAATCATTCCTAATGGTATTGAATGTATAACAAAATCATAGCACCATCTCATAACCATTAGAACATGTTAATTACATCTTGATGTATGATTCTCCTATGATGATTTAATGATTTAAACTCTCAAATATCTAATTATGAACAATAAGCATTACTTGAACTTCAAAATAAGTTAAAATCTTCAGTCTCTCATTAGATCATCAACATTAGTGAATCGAAATAACATTTATAGTTCGATTTATGACATTTCATGTATTAAAACAAAATTTTAAGGGTAAATAGCATAAAAAACACTCGGTTTACACCAAAATTCTAATTTGACACCGTGTTTTTTTTGTCTCAAATTTTACACTGTGTTTTCCAATTTGTTACAATTCTGACCACTTGACCGGTTAACCAGGTTACATGCTGACATGGCATGATGACGTGTCAGTTTTGATGATGTGACATGCTGACGTGTCAAAATTGAATTTTTTTCCACAAAAAACACTAAGTTTTCACTTTTTTCGATTTTGACACTAAGTTTAATTTTTTCTTTCAATTTTGACACTATGTTTCTTTGTTCCAAATCGAACATCATTTTTTCCAATTTTGTTTAATTTTGATCATTTTCCATTTGAAACCGTATAAATATATTTTTTTTATTACATTTTAAACCGTATAAATATATTTTTTTTGTTTAAAAACCACATTTTTATTTAAATACAAGGTGTTTCTTTTGTTTTGTTTTTTTTTTGTTTTTTTTTACATTCAAAGTATAAGGTATATTTATGCATTAGTTATATCATGAGAATCAAACTAACCATAAGCTTCTAATAAGATGTGAAAATTTCAAGGGTTGCAAACTTGACATTCGGGTTTTAATCGACTATACGCCTCCAAACCTACAAAGTCATTTTAAAGTTGTGTATTTAATATAAAATACGGTTTTTATATAACTAATACATATTTATACATAAAATTACGGTTTGAATGTAAAAAAAAAAAAAAAATTGTATTTATACAAAACTGTGGTTTTTAATTGAAATGGAAAATGGTCAAAATTGAACAAAATTTGATAAATGATGTTCGATTTGGAACAAAAAAACATAGTGTTAAAACTGAAAGAAAAAATTAAACTTAGTGTCAAAATCGAAAAAAGTGAAAACTTACTGTTTTTTGTGGAAAAAAAATTCAATTTTGACACGTCAGCATATCATGTTAGCATGTCACGTCATCAAAACTGACACATCATCATGTCACGTCAGCATTTAACCTGATTGACCGGTCAAGTGGTCAGAATTGTAACAAATTGAAAAACACAGTGTCAAATTTAAGAAAAAAAAAACACAGTGTCAAATTAGAATTTTGGTGTAAACTGAGTGTCTTTTATACTATTTACCTAAATTTTAACTTATAAATCATGTCAACAATTCAACACAAACTTCCACTAAAAGCTCTCAAGCACATTGGCAACTCTAATTAGATCATAACGTCTCAAACTCTAACTATGATGGATTCTCTGTTTGAAAATAAGTTAGTAAGATTGAAATAAAGTTAAGTCCATCATCAATTTCATGAAATGAATCTCCATTTGTAATCCACCATTATTAGGATTTCAAAGCTTCAAAACACATTCAAACTCCAAATCAAGCAAAGCAAAGGAGATTTTAGTGTAGATTGAAGAATACATGGTTGGAATGGAATTAGAAACTTACTTAAAGCTTATTAATCACTAACAAATTCGGATTTGAAGGATTCTCCAAACCCTTGTTCAAAGTCAAGGGAAAAAAAGATATGAAATTATAAACCTCTATGAGTGATTCATAACTTTAATTTTTCAACTAATCTTCAAGTTTCACTTCTAAATCTTCCTCAAGCCCTAAGAATCGCCATTCTCCCTAAGCTTCCAAAGTTGATTTTTGATTCAAATGGGGGGAGGGAAGGCTTTCTTCTAAATCTTACGAGTATTGGCAATATGAACCCCTTATATCCCATATGTTTCACTTCGATCCCAAATAGTCACCAACTAACCTAAAAGTTTCTATACTTGCTAGATTAACCCCCACATAATTAACTCCTGGCATTTTGGTAATCATACTAAGTTAAAGCTAGTTTTGCTAAATTGACACTTTTAGTCCTTCATTGCAAATTTTTAGTTTTAAACTAATATTAATCCTCTAATTAATTTATAACAACATGTTTTTACTTTTTTAACCTCGACTATTTATTTTATCCATTAACTACTTTATTTTATTATTCAGTTATTAAAATTTAAATTGCTCAAAATTAGGATGTTAAAGATAATTGACAAGTAACATGGTTTAAACAAAATGAAAATATTGATAATCTATTTCGTACCACATCTTTGTAAATTGTAATTACACTTTTCCTCCTAAAAGGAATACCAAGTAAAGATGATAAGTAATGTACACTTAACTTGTTTGTTACAATATACAAAATATTTCAAACATTGGGTATATATCTTATACTAAGTTTATTTAGTCATTTAATTTGACCAATGTATTATAAACAACAACATGTAGATGAAGCATCTTAGATGCAAAAACTCATTGATTGAGCATTTGGAGAAAGGAAGAGCTTCAAAAGCACCTCAATTGATTGCAGATTGACATAATAACCACCAGAATCAAAACAATCACAATCCCCACAACTATCAGCTTAATCTTCATGTTCTGAATCCACATCTTCCTTTTCATCTTCGTGCCTTGTTTCTTGAAATCATTCGCCTAACCATTTATTCAAAAAGAAATTGCATTTATAAACAATTAATGTAATAAACATGATTACAAAAACTTATTATAAAAAAAATGTTGTTCATATGATACAAAGTTACAAACCTGATTGCGAAGGTTGTCAGTTTTATCTACCAGAAGTTCAATCTTCTCTCCACGATCAAGAACCTACAAAACATCACTCAGGATGCAAAAGTTTCTTATAGAATATTGAAGAAAATGACTTAATGAGAAAAGTGTTATTATTAAATAAGATACCTTTTCAATGTTACCCATCATAACTCCTTTGACTTCATCAACCTGAGCTTTGACCTTAGCAATCTTGTCAATCTCTTCAGGATGAGCAACACAGTATGCCATTTCCTCTTTCATTTTTGGTCTAAAATCCACCGATTGTTATAACATTCATGAAAAGATTATAAAAAACAAACACCAATATTAAATTTATGTATTTTTAAAGTACCCAAATGATTTGCTTAAACTCTTGGCAGCAGCAGTTGAAGCTTTTCCACCTCCATATTTTTTGTTAAATTCGTCTTTCACACGTTCCAAAAAGCCCATGGGAAGGGTCCTCCCAGCAGCTTCCACTGCAACAACACAGTATGCTGCAATACCCAAACACATCCTTTGTCCTCAACATTTTCCATTTCAATGGTTTCTCCTTTTTAGGGGATGTTTCTTTTCGATTTAATATACTTTTTCACTTGGTGTTATTCTCTATCCATGATTTTAAATTTACTGATTGTTGATTGAATCTCTCAAAGGGTAACATAGATTGGCATGTAATTTATCAAAGAACACATCAAAATATCGGAATGCTAACATGCAAAGTCTTAAATATTAGAATTCAACAGCTAGTATATGCAAATTGCAAGCAAATGTATTAAGCTGTAATCAATTAATATGGTATCCTCTAATTAGCAATGTGTCATTGATTCTTAACGACGGAGTTGGTCCTGCAACAGGCTATAAGACCAGGGTCGTAAAGGAAATTCAAACGGTGATGAAGAAAACCCTAGGCCGGATTGTAATCAACGTAAGAATCTCAAAAAATTGACGAAATTAAAGGAAAATAACTCACTAAATTCAGTATCGATGTAGTAATTGAAGGTATGGCCATCGCAATTATACGTAAACCGAGGCTGATTGGCAGGAAGCTTTTGAAGACATTGTTGGGCGACGGTTGAGAAGTTCCCCTTGAATTCGGTATACTCAGCGAGGATCACCGTGCCTCTGGCAACGAAGCTGTAGATCAGGGATTTCTGTCCCATTTCCTGTTCTCCAAAACCCTAATGCGAACCAAAATTTTCAGAATTTTCGAAAACCCAATTGTAGAAACATCAAATTGATCAAATCGAGGACAAAATGGCTGATAATGCGTTCGGAAAATTCAAATTCTGTCAGCTTATGTTGGTTTGAAATCATATGAAATTTCAAGAAATGAGGATGGAAGAAAACACATCTATGTGAACAGATAATTTGTTGGAAAGAATAAAGGAAGGCCGAAAATCTATGATCGATTGGTGTTCGTTTTCAATGGTGATGGTGAATGTGTGTTTTGCATGTTTGTGCGTGAGAGAGAAACAAATGTAGCTGTTTTAACAGTCACGCGGGTTCTTTTGAATTTCTGACGTATGCATTATGTCAATACTCATTTGGTATTTTAATTTGTAGAAAAATAACAATTATTATTATCCCATCGGCTCTCTTACTTTTTGTTCACTTGGGTTAATTGGTATTTTATTTTTGTCAATTTATTTAATTAATCATTTTTGTTGCTAAATTTGACATCATGTATAATCTTACCTGATATTTAGGTTTAGGTTGTAATACGAATCAAAATCAGGATATAGCTATTTGAGATATTATATGGTTCATTTAATTCATTTTAGTTTGTTTGGTTTGGTTTAATAATTTTTTAACACATGTATACTGTCTAAACTATCTGTTAACGAACCATATAAAGGTTGTTTGTTTTAGTCGGTTTCGGACAATTTTGTTCCAAATAAAATTTTAATTCTATTCCTTTTTACGGAAATAGAAGGGTGTAGAATACACTGAAATATGCGTAGTATTAAAAACACATCTATAAGGATGGAGG